TACGAATGTGCAGGGTCGGATTGAACGAGCGAGTATCTCTTCAAAAAAAAACGAGCGAGTCGGGTTACGGTTCTTCTTCACCCCCTTTGAGAAACGGATGGAAAACCGCCACCTCTGATAAGAGAGAAAACTTGTGTTGAGGCACATATAGATCTAGTGATCATGATCTAGGTAGTACGAGGAAAGGGTGGAAGAACAAACACATGTGGGTGGCAGCTGGTATTCTCTTTGTCTGGAAACTGAACACAAGAACAAAATCAGCATATGCATTCATATCTCCAATAAGCCTATTCAGGTTGTATTATCATCAAGGGCTAGCTGCTTGTTTCGCCTTTTGGCTAACAAATCCCCTGTCTCCCCATTCCTCTTGTCATCTCCTTATCTATTGCCCCCACCACACCCACTCATCACTAATCAAAGCAGCTGGCCTGGATCCAATTTCTTTTTAACTAATATAATTATTTTGGATTAATTATTTTCCTTCGATAATTAATATGAAGGCGGCTGTCGTATGATGAATCGAAGAATCTTGGCACCGTGAGAGAAAAACGACCCATCCTGATTTTCTTTTCTTTTTTGAAGTGAGACCCATTTTTTTTAATTACCCAGTAACCTCAGTCGCACGTGGCACTTTGTTATAGTTGTGAGGCCTACTAAATTTGGGGGCCATCTGCATTTAATTTGACGCCAATAGGACTTCGTCCGCAACAGCTTTGTACCTACGAGAACACTAACTAGTTAACAATCCTTCACTGCCGTCGGAGTTTTACCGTTAGACTATCTCACCTTTGTAAACCATATATATATATATATATGCTAGTTAACAACTAGCTAGGCCGGGTTTCGTACGATAGGGGGTGTTGATGGTTTCAATAGGTATGTTTCTGCTCAAGAAACCTTCCAGTAGAAACACATTATTATTATTATTATTATTATTATTATTATTATTATTATTATTATTATTATTATTATTATTATTATTATTATTATTATTATTATTATTATTATTATTATTATTATTATTATTATTATAGGAGGAGGTCCAAATAATTGCGAAAAGAATGATGCTGCTAATCATGCATTGGTGAGAGGCATCTGCTGGTTGCTTAGCCTTAGATTCAGGGACGTGATTCTTGCCATCCCGCGCGCTGCCTTATTTTATTTTATTGCTTTTAGGTTAGAGCAGAGGATGATTTATGCAATTTAATTAATTAATTGTTGTTCGTCCAATTATATGGACTTAGTTATGTTGATATAATCCATCCACTGGGTTTTATATAGATATATATATTATAATTATAATTGTTCAATTAATTGGATCTTGCATAGCAGCTTTTCCAGTTCAGCCCAACTCCAATATGTGTTGTCCTTATGTATGTCAGTTTAATTTGTCAGGATAATCACGTTAAGTGCAAGCGGAAATGGGGACGTAAAACTATTTCTCAATTCTCTAATTCAATCCCTTGATTAATTAGCGGTATTTACACAAAAATGTATTTTTTTTACTTAAAATACCTCCTAGGCTATTTTGGAAAATTGGCCCGATTTAAGCAATTTGACCTAGGGCTGGCTATTTGGTCCGGGCTTTTTGATTTTATCTGAAATCGGACCGTATAACCTGGATCGGGACCGGATAGCAAAAAATTCAATCCAATTTTCGGGCCTAGATTTGAGGTAAAAAAATCATTTGGGACCGGACTGAAAACCGTATAAAACCAGATAAGAGAGCCCAACACCCAAAATTTAACCTCCTCGCCTTTTAAGGCCTTAGGCCACTCAAATATCCCCTCAGGCCACTCAAATCCCCACAAGCTCAATCTAAAATCAAAACCAAATTGGGACCGGACCGGTTCAAGACCGGAATGTATCCAATCCAATCTTTGGTCCTTATATTCTCGAAAAGAATGAACCGGGACCGAATCAATTCGGGCCAATTTAACCGGACCAGACCGTATAGCCACCCTAATTTGACCTATGTATACCAGATTGTTTGGGTGGGCCGTACTTTTGATGTATAGTAGTTAGCTGAAAGGTGACAATCCAGTATTTGGTCACCATCTGTTCAGCTCCATTGATATACCATCAAATCCCAAAGTGAATGTTGTCCATCTCATATCATGGATATCATCCAACCCGTAGGTAGATAGTTGTTGTGACATGGTCATGTATCCAGAGGCTTCCATTGACTACAAGTGAATGAAAGTGACTAGCTTAGATACTACGAAACTACTTTTCGAGAAGAAGAGTGAGAGAATAGTTGAACGACTCTTTTCCAACAAAAGTTAAAGCAAGCTTTTGGAGGAAGGGGACGATCACAATCCAACACACATGAAAATTGTCTCAATTGTCCTTTTTTTTACTTTTTCTTTGTAATGTGTGGAGCTCCCCTCCATGAAGGATCCTCCATAGCTATAGTGTTAGTTGTAGTCACAGAACTCTCAAGAAATCTCTATAGGAGTAGGATCATAGTAACGTTGGTTCTTTTGTATGCACCAAATACCCTCGTTCGAAAAATGTTTGAAGACGTGTATCATAGTAACATTTAGCACCTTCATAAAAGTTAGAGAGCACCCATACGCTTGTTATTCCAGTGTTAACAATTTGGAACCAACAAGAATATCATCTTCCACAAGGTTTCGTCTATGTGGAGCTGGGTTTTGGTCAATTCCACGATCACCCAAGGGGCAAACCAAAGAGAGAGAGAGGGCGATTAGAGGGCGATTTTGGAGCATCCAAAGCACGAGGAATAAGCCCAGACTTGAAGACTAATCATCTGAAGATTCTTACTGGAGTCTCTCTCTTCTCTATGGAGTAACTTCTCTTCACTTAGGTTTTGAGGAACCCTAGCTATCTTTGTTTGATTGGATGATTGTATGAGTACTCATACTTGATAATCTTGAGTTCATATTCAATCTATGAATGTTTTCATGTTTCAATTATGCTTTAGTCTAGATTATTGATTATGCTTTTATCCTATGAGAGCGAATACATGATTAGATCAATAGAGCATCATAGATTGATAGTATTGGATCGATTGCTTTAGTCGAGAGTCGATTCAATGCTTTATATTTATTAAGAACCTCATTCGATAGAGGGAATCTAGTTCAGAACTCCTTAATAAGTTGTTCTTGAGAAGGATACGTCCCACTAGGAAATTCACTCAAGAGGGCCTCGACTTCTTTAGTCGAGATTCGAGGTCTAATCAAGGACTCTCACCATTGTGAATGAAAGTTTAACAAGTTAGAAATCATCAATCATTAATCTGGCTAGCTGGTTAGGGGGAATCATACCTAAGTGAGTTCCCAACCTTTAATTTGATTAACTTTAACTGTAGTTTGCTAGAGTAGTTATAGTTCTTTTATCTTAATCTGGTTTGCTAGATAATGACCTGAAGCTGAGTACTAGTAACTCTAGAGACTCGTGGATTCGATATTTAGTACTTTTGTCACCATACTGCAACCCCTTTCATTGGTTACACTTGGTTATTGTTAGAAGTTGTATTTTAGCGAGTCACCCACCAGAATATTTCGTCTTTCGTGGAGATAATGAACCCGAATTATCTCCGAAATATTTATTTTAATAAATATGGTTCATTACTTTTCCGTTTTTGTATAAGAAAGAAATCAGATTATATGGAGGTCATACCACTCCCGTAAAAGTGGCTCACCTGAAAGGAATAACAAAAAAAGATAAACTTACTCATATATATATATATATGGTGGCTACTTCGGTGCAATCACTTTTTTGGGTGCACTCATCTCTAAAAGTGTCCATAATACATCAAATTTTGAACTTTAATTAATACTCTCAATCTAATATGATGATATGGCATAGTATCATAACAAATCAATCTATTACTCTAACCCCTTAACCTTCAATTTTGAATCTTAATGCAAAATCCCAAACTGTAAACCTAAACCGTAACCCTAAACTCCTAAATCTTAAATCCTTCAAATTAAAGTAAATCTTAAATGATTTTTTTTTTCAAATTGATGTGCTTCTTGTTCATACTATCATAAGCAATAATTGATACCGTTTTGACATAAATTGCATGCTCAGAATGATGATTATGAGGCGGGTGTACTGAGTGCACCCAAAAAAGTGGGTGTGCTGAATACCTCACCATATATATAGATATATATATTGCAAACCTAACTCATCAATATTACTATTCTACAAACCTCCGAATTTCAAAATCGATTAAGAAAACTTCTTATTTAATTTCTACTTTGCCTAGTGATCATCGAGAGCCAATAATATATATTCGACCGATCGAGTAATTTAATATGTATCCTATATGGGTTGTGCTCCATAAGATCACTCATCCTTGCAGTGCTTCATGCTGAGCACGTTTAATTTCGGTGTTCTCACAAGAAATCCTGCATTTCACCACAAAACGCGCCTTATCAGTTAATGTCGATTTCTTTCCTATAGACCATTTATCTCTCTCGTGCTTTGTGGACGTGGAATTCACTTATAATATTACAAGTCCCTTGTAATAAAAAAAAAAAACTAGCTAGTCCATTAATCTTGGGGGTGCTCATTACCAATTATGGTTGGGCGTCTTGGAGGCAAGTAGTCTCTTAACGTCTTCGGTCACATTCCACACTTTGCAGAGATTTTGTTTTGGAGTTATCTTCTTTCATTCTAGTGGCACAATTGAGAATATATAGTTTTAGCTTTCATTTCATGGTTGTTATGATATTAACCTCTTCCCCCCCCCACGTGGGTAAATGGTCCGAGACTGGAATTGGTCACCAAAGAATCAAAGTAGCCTCGAATCATAGCACTGTACGTCCTCCATTTTTTTTCCTACCCAAATGAAAGGTACTGTGTACCAATTTCGTCAAACAATACAGCGCATGAAGACCTAAAAGTACCATCACATAAATTACCATTCTATAAATAAATAAAAATACCATCAGAAATCCATTACTTCATAAGTGTATTTGAAGTATTAGCATTTGAAATATATATGTAGTTATCTTATGATACCATAATAAATAAAAATACCATCAGATAAATTACCATTTCATATGAATGTTTTACAATGGTATATATATATATATATATAATACAGCTCTCTCTCTTTTTTTCTGGTATGTATAGCTGTTAATAAAATTTGCAGATTTGTACCTCTGCAGCACGAGGTTAGAGCTCTTAACAACACTAGCGATGAGGTAATTAACAACAACACCACAATCTGTACAGAGAAATTTAAAAAAAATAAAAACCCCCACCAATTTCTACCTAATCAAATGTTGTAAGTAGAAAGAAAGAAAAAAAAAGGAGGGAGAATTAATCACTGTCCCTTTTCCTCCCGATCTCTTAAATCCTAATTATAATTACCCTTGATGACGAATTATTAATCAAACAATGAGGATGGATCAGTAATTATCCCAGAAACAGTCCAATCCAGCCATACCGGACGACGTCGGATCCTCCAACCCATCGTACCCCTTCCCTCCGACGCTCGACGATATCTCCGGCGCCGCGCCGCTCATGTTGTCCGTGCTCAGCCCCGTCTCCTGCGAAAGGCTCACCATCGACTGCTCCGCCTTGCACTGCCGCCCGCCGTCGTCCCTTCCGTAGCCGTGCAAATTATAACCCGTCGTGGCCGCCGGGTTGGGGAAAGTGTACTGACGGTAATTGTTGACGTTAATAAAGGAATTGGGGAAGCCGCCGTAATTGGAATTGGAACTGCCTTCCCCCACCACTCCAGAGGACGTCGGTTTAGCGAACTCGGTGCCGCCGTACGGGAGATCCATCAAGGGCGGCAGCGACAAGGAAGCGTCCAACAGGAAATCGTCGCCGTTGCCGAAGGAATTCGCCCTCGCCAGGAAATCTTCCATCGGAGAAGCTCTCTTCATCAACACTCCTCCTCCGCCGCCGCCGCCCACCGCCCCCGCCGCCGGATTCTTGTGGAACACTCTACATACAACCCATTCGTCCTGCGCCCAAAAAAAAAAAAATTCAGCTCGAATTAATCGCCGATTTCGCGTCCGCTGAATAGCACAATTATATAGTCCCGAAAAACACGGTAAAAAAAAAAGTCGTCATGAAAGGAATGGGCTACCCAACAAAAAATGAAAATGAATTTGGGGATTTTACCTTTGAAGCTTTGGGGAAGGAGTAGTAGGAGAAGTTGCCGTCGAGGCGGTATTCGTGCATGACCCAATTGGTTTTCTCTCCCTTGGGAGCTCTGCCGCGATAGAACACCAGCGTCTTCTTCATCCCGACGAGGCAGCCTCTTCCCCGGAAAATCTCCTTGTCTTTTCCGGTGGCCTTCCAGTATCCAGCCTCCGTCGCGCGATTCGTCCTCATCCCCGTAGGGTACTTCTTGTCCCTCTGGCAGAAGAAGTACCACTCTTTCTCCCCCATCTTCGCCTTGCCTAAACAGCCAGCCAGTGGAGAGAAAAAAAAAATTGAGAATAATTTTTTTTCGTAGAGAGGAGGAGGAGAGGAAGGAGAAGGAGAGTTGACTTACTGGGGAGGTCCCAGGGCTCGGACTTGTTGAGATCGGCTTCTCCGACGGCGACGGCGGCGAAGGTGTCGTCCTTGACCTTGGGGGTGAGGTAATGAGTGATGATTTCCTCGTCGGTGGGGTGGAAACGGAACCCCGGCGGCAAATCCAGCATTTCCTCGCCGCCTCTGACGTTGTTCAGCACGGTCGGCTCTTCCATGTATTCAAATTCAAATTCAAATTCAAACTAGCTAGAGATGAATGATAAGAACCTGTTTTTTCAAGCTCGCGGAAAAGGAGGAAGGGGAAAGGAGGAGGGGGGAATTGTTGAAGAAAGAAACAGTTAAAGAAAGTTGAAGGAAAGGCTGAAAGCGAGCTTAAATAGAGGAGCTTGTTGAAGAAATTTAATTGGAAAGGGAGAAATGTTGTTTTGTTTTTTTGTTTGAGAGGGGAAGAGATCCGTGGAGAGCAAGTAAGTTCGAGGTGTGAAGTCCTGGAGAAGCCACTGAGAGAGAGACACATAGCTCTAGGCAAAAGAGAAGCTGTGTGTGATTGATTCATTTGATTGGAGATTTTTAGTTTTTTCGATTTTCCTTTTCATTTTTTTTTTCCTTCTTCTTTTAATTCATTAAATCCATTTGCCCATTAAGGTAAGTTTTAATTAGGAGAGGTCATTTCAAACAAACAGGAAGCCCTGATTAGTGTTTTTTGTTCAAATGATGTAATTTATAATAATTCCCCCAGTTAATTATTATGAGAAAATGTTTTTAGCCAAGATTCATAATATTGTACGTGCTACAATAAGTAGAATTATAACACGGCAACATATCACCATTTTTTTTCCTGAGCTGGGTATCTACCAATTTGAAAACAAGAGAGTGTGAGTAGAATTTCTTTTGAAAAACAGATGTGAAAATGAGAGGAATGGTAAAAAGAGTTCAGCGAGCTAGAAAAGTGGTAGGCCTTTTTAATGACGTATGTATTCTTCTTTTCCTTCTCTTTTCTTGTTTTGGGTGCAATCGTATACGCTGCTGGATGGAGGTGGAGGCATATAATTTCTAACAGACGCGTTTCACGTTTGAAAAGAATCATTCTCTTCGATTGTTTAATAGATGGCCATATTTAGTATATAGCCCCGTATAGCCAGGGTTGCGAGCTAGTTCGACTTGGTAGCTTGTTCATCTAAACTCGTGAGTTGGTTCGTTTAGAGCTCATGATATGTCTCAACATGTGGCTAGAGAGTCAACTCGATTACAGACTTATGGACGAATCAATCTATATCTTATGATTTTTAATTCATATGGTTGTTAAATTATATATCTCGTCATATATAAAGTTTAGCACGTTGAGTATGTGATCAAATATATCTTATTTTCTATTTAAAAAGAAATTATGTATCATAGATTGCTTCGATACTGTGAATTAATATGATTTGGAGTAGTTAAAAATTATTAACTAAATGATATATGATACCAACAAAGTATAATATGAGATTAGCTAACAAAATAAATCATATTATCATGATATACAAAATGAAGTATCAAATAAAAGTCGAAATTTTAGTAAAAAACAAGCCAAGCTCAAATTGGGGTAAAACTCGACTCGACTCGGCTCTACTCGACTCGGCTCGACTCGACTCATTTATAGCCGTATCTATAGGTGATAGAGGGAGCTAGGGTGGGAGAAGCAAAAAGAAAAAAAGGTCCCTTTTATTATCTGCTAAAAAGACCTAACCTTTTTCAGAATTCTGATTCCATGTGGGCTCTGTCTGCCTCTTTTATCCTTTTTACAACCTTCGTAGCACCTTATAAAAGGAAAACAAAAAAAATGAGTGGTAGAATCGACAGCTAGCAAACTAACAGTAGTGCATAGAGGTAAATGTTTTTTTTTTTTTGTTTCATACTTTACGAATATTACATCTACGTTCCATTTACTAAGTTAAATTTGAAACACGAAAGTTGTGATCATAATATGCAGTTTCATAAGTTTTGTGATGGAATTGATTCATTATGGATCATTTCATAGAGGATTGTGATAAGCACTCGTTTGTTTGTTGGATTTGAAAAATTAAGAATTTTTTTTTTGGTAAACATTAAGATTTTGGTCATAACCTAAAATATGAAAAACTTGAGTTTTGTGATAGAATTGGTCCGTAATGGATTTGAAAAACAAAATTGTTGTTTGCTTGTTGGATTTGATGATAGATTTGATCGAACTAAATTGCGGGTATATAACATTTTACGCTATTCATTAATTTGGTCCAAATCTCACATATATAGCAGGTTTTTGGCTTTTTGCAAATCCGTGGAGCCTACAGATTTGAACTTTGAGAATTTACTGTATCGAAAATTATCAAGCAAACATAGATTTTGTACCAAATCCACTAGGATCATGAATTGAGACCCAAATTCATGCTTGAAATCTATAAAGCAAAAGACCCACTAAATGTTCTTGTCAAGCTTTTTATAGAGCGAAAAAAATTCGAGTTTAATGTTATTTGGACGATGTATTTTCTCTCTTAAATGAAGTATTAGACCAATTTATTTTGGTGTGATAGGTAGAGAATTCTTTTTATTTTTCCTTCCTTCTTTTGTATGTGTTTATATCATCAATATAAACAAGCATCCTTAGTTGGCAAGAAAAAAAAAGTCCTAAGAACTGAAGAAGAGTAGTTTGAATAATTCATTGGTTCTAAAAAAATATACTTGGAATGGTTTCTTTCTCTTTCCCACAAAAAGCGGCTGAAAGGTTAGCTTTGGCATTCAAGTTAGGATTCAGGCCTAGGGAGTGGATGAATCCACCTGTCAATTTTTCTTTCTTTCTTTCCTAAAAGATACCTACCTGTCACATATTCTAAATTATCCCAATGCAATGGATTTGACTCGGCTCGATTCGGCTCGACTCGACTCGATTCGACTTGAATGGCGATCTTCATTTCTTCTTTGCTCAGTCAGCTTATGGTCATATCAAGCTGGATTAGAGTGGTTAATTATTGGGTTTTCAAGGATTAGGATAAACGTTTGATATTCTTTTTCTCGTTTGCTTTGCTCTATGGGGTCATAGTTTATTGTGTGTTGTGTGGAAGGGAATGTGTTGCTTGTAATGGAAACAGGGAGCTGATGAGGTGGTGATTGCGTATAGTTTCCCACTAAATATGCAAAAGCTAATAACACTAGTTAGGGTTGAGGGGTCCAAATGAGAGGAATCTGTACAGAGACAAGGTCTTGATTGAGATCATGATGATAAGAAAGTCAAGAAAGGTTACAAGCTAGAGAAATTTCAAAGAAGTTTCTTCTCAATTATGCTATGTGGGTAATATTTATCTTCTCCATTTTTTTTTAACTTTTCGTAGCTATGTATATGTTTACCACACATTTCCAATTTTCGGGTGCATACAATATATCATTATTATTGATGGTAAATTATTGATAATTTGCAAGATTTATCTTATAGATGAAAGGGTGTGTGTAAACAAGTAGTATACATCGATACATGAGCCTCTCTCAATATACAACTTGAGTTACAACAATTAGGGTTATTGAGACTAGTTGGCTTATTGATTGATGATATCATTTACTAGCACGCCCCCTTAAATGAAAGTCACCATATATGGGCTTCAATTTTGCATAGGATATCGGAATATCATGTGCTTAACAAATGGGGTCAGTGAAACTCGAGGAGAAGACCTTTCACTTATAAAAGGCTTTGATATCATATAAAAAATCAGTTGGTTACAACAACTCGAATTGTTGGAAAATATTAAATTGTGGTTCTTGTACCGTACACTAACACTCCAAACTCCAATATTAATAGTTGAATATTCAGGTACATGGTATGTCATACTTGTACAAGTATCAAGCCTTGAGTTAGCTTTTATTTGAAGGGGACATAATGAAATAAAATTATGTTTTCTGAACAAAATGGTAAAATAATATCATATTTTCAAAAAGCTTTTCACATATGCTCCAAATTGGTGTTTCTACTTTTATGTTTTTTTTTTTAATCAGGATGTCATAGGTTTATTTTTACAGTTAGGTGCTACCGAAGAAATTCAAGTAAACTTAGATCAGACACTTGTTTGTGAGTTTTGTTTTCTTATGTTATAAAACCACTTTTCATTATTTTCAAAAAAGGTATTGGTAACACCTTAGGCACGAATCTCATATTGACAATGTACAGAAGATATCATAAGTAAGAAACCAACATTAAATAATAAGACGCGTTTTGAGATGAATTGGAAGAGTTCTTGTGGGAACTTCGGAGTTAAAAGTGCTCAGCTTGGAGCACTACAAGCAAGAATGACCTTATGAGAATTCACATTGACATACACCACAAAGCAATAACCGTGAGGATCTACCTAAAATGAATAATATCTTGTCCGTAAAAGTTTCGGGATGTCACTGGTCTTGCTTCAATTATCTTAAGAAAAATATTTCTGAATGCTGGGCCTTCTATTTGGTTTACTTGGGTCATGCGATTAAATAGTTATTATGACAAAATCTGTGCAATTAAAAAGATATTTTTTTTGAGATCATGCAAATTTAGTTTGAATTCATCTTCTTTTATATTTATTTCTTCTATACATTAATTGATGGTGTGCAACTGTGCATCATATTTTGCCATTCCGTGTGTTATACTATGTAATAATTATCAAGATTCTGCAAATAATGTTTCAGGGTTTTTTTTTGGGTACATTTAGACTTTCACTTTTAAGTTTTATCTTTACGCGTAAACATAAAATATGAATTAATATGCGAGATGATCGGTTTAGATACACCACTCATTTTTCTTATGATTCAATTTTCAAAGAGAGCCTTCGTAGAAAATTATTGAATTCGAATCACGAAAATTTTCAATTCGGATTCATCATTTTAACCATGAAGTTTGTTATCTGAATGAAATACAATTTAGAAGCCTCTTTATACATATATAGATAGGCATGAAACATGACTATTCATATGTGCGTTGAAATCCTCTGTGTACTTGGAACAAATCAACCTTGAAGCCAATTATTTATCCGAATCAAATTACATAAATTTGGAATATATATATGTATAATCTCGGAACTCATTAATTAAAAGGTATTTAATCACTTAAAAGTCTCCGTCAATGAATTTACATAAGAAACTCAGCCAATAAGTCCATTTATTTTATTCTAATCTTCATTCTTAATTCCTATGTGATTCCCATATAATTTAGTATTGAAGGCAGATTTCCAATGTAATTTAAGTTCAAACAACATATGATTCCCATTGGGTGTCCCGATTAAGAAAAGACCTTACGATACTTCTTGATGAAAGATAAGGAATTTTAGCTCGTTATTTACTAAAACGAAATTTCCCAATAAACAGCTTGAATTAATTATCGAGAAATTGCAGATAAAATCAAAATAAATGACCAAAACCACGTTATCTTTTTTTTTTTTTTTTTAATTCGTATATCAAAGAAGGTAAAGTTGAAATGAAAATCAATTTTATTCATATGATTCCTTCAATTCTGCTGAAAAAATTGGTAACAAATTAATTTGCTAACATGGTGGTCGGTGGGACATGATTTCTTTTACTGCTTCGAATCGAGCTG